TTCATCTAATGGTCATTCATTAATATAGAGTATTGAGTTAATTGGCATCTTTATATGGTTAAAACATTTAAGGTGTGTTTGGTTTATGGGAGTTTACATATTAGGAATGAGAATCATTAAATTGTTTGGTTAACAACTTTTTAAAATACAATTATGTGATTGATTACCCTTTCAATTAAAAATCATATTTTTTAATTAAAAAGGCCGTATCATTTCATAATATATTTGGAATTTAATTTTTAAGTTTGGGTTAATGCTTTTAAATTTTTGTTTTGATTTTTTGTTCACATTGGTGTTTTGGATGTCATTATATTAGGATTAATTGCCTCCAATTTTTTGTTTTTCTATTTTTTAAATTTTTATAGCAGTTATACGGGTAGTTGGATTGCACATTAATGGCTCAACACGCCCCCTCACGTGTGCGGTAGGTTCCAAGCAACACGTGGACCGTAGTCGCTTATGGGTGGCAGTAAGATCTCCATGTCAACTAAAGCCTAAGCTGATAGTTGGATTGCACATTAATGGCTATATGCTCACACACCCCCTCACATGTGAGGTGGATTCCAAGCAACACGTGGACCGTAGTCGCTTATGGATAGCGGTGACCTTCGAACCCATGACCTTTTGTTTGGCTCTGATACCAAATTGAAGTATGTGCTCCATCTCAACTAAAAGCCTAAACTAATAATTGGATTGCACATTAATGGCTCAACAATATATAACCAAACATTAATATTAGTAATCATTCCAATTCTATATGGCCTGCCACCAAACATGCAAAATACTTTCACCAAAACCATTACTATTACTATTACCGAGTATTTGATTATCATTCTGATTTCGGTTGTCATGCATGAACCAAGCACACTTTAAATTTATATTCTTATTTTGGCATTTAATTAAGTTGTCATTCTTAATTAAGTAATTTCTATTACAATAATGGAAAAATAAAAGCATTTAATGACGAGTTTAAACGTGGATACAAATTAATAATTTATTTGTTATTGTATATATCTGAATGCATCTTATTTTAGTAAAAGGTATTGCAATTAAGTAAAAGTTGAATGCCAAGTCATATGAGACATTAAAACGCACTTAATAATAAATAAAAATCTCAAAATAAAAATATTAATTGTCTAGCAAAATCGGATTAACATGAGTCTAGCTACTAATCTATATTCTATAGTAGATATTTTGTCAGGATCAAGCGAGGAAACTTGATTTCCTTACAAATTAAACCTTATTTCACCGCAATTCAAATTAAAGAACTCACGGAACGTTTTATTGGAGGGTGGGAATTACGTGCGAAAGGAATTGCAATTTCACGGGAGATTAATTATTGGAAATAAAGTGGGAATTTAAATTCTAGTATATGGTTTAGAGAAATAAAATTATTTGAAATTTCAATTCTAATGTTTGGTATACATGAGAATTGAAAGGGAATAAGTAGTATAAAGTCCAAAATATTCATTGTTGTTGCCAGACATCAATTTTAGGTTAAAAAAAGGAGCGAGAGTGGTAATTTTGTCTCATCATTATCCTTTTTTCTTCCTAAAATTCATGGAATTAAAATCTCAAGGGGGGCATGGAATTTTAATTCCATGAAAATGTGGGAATTGCAATTCCTTCCAACCAAACTAAGGAATTTAGTTGCATTCAAAATTATGTAGGAATTAAGTGGGAATGTAATTTAAATTCCCTCCAACCTGACGCTATGTTAATACTAAACCAAAAGTTATAATTTTTTTTTTTTTAAATACCCAAAAGTTATAGTTAATGTCAAATATGTGTAATATTATTACTTTACTTGAATACCAGGTAGTGTAGCATTTCAATTACATGATATTATATTCAATCCTCCAAGCATTAACTCCAACAGTTTTTTTCAATATATTTAGAAAAAATATCATTTGAACAAAATTATTAATTATTATCTTAATTGATGTAACTTTTAATAATTATCATTATATTTTGCATTTTATGAGATATTAGTGAATTGATTGAATCTCTCCAACTAAGACATTATGACAAATTATTGTATGGACCATGGTCTACACAATGTTATGTGGAGCATAACAAAAAGTACATTTTTAATGTACCAAAAGTACATTATTTTTGTACTGAATATACACTATACAATATAATGTACATTCAGAACAAATATAATGTACATCCTCTGTATATAATGTACATTATCTTTGTATTGAATGTACATTATTTTTGTATTGAATGTATATTATTTTACAGTAGACAAAATATGGTCCACACAACTTGTGTGAACCATGGTCCACACAATAATGTCTCCATAATGATTGAGACATTATTGTGTGGATCATGGTTCATATAGCTGTGTGGACTATGAATATAAGGTAAATTTTTTATATATTAAAAGTACATTATTTGTGTACTGAACTCTATGTTCATAATTACTGAACTATATGTTCATAATTATAAAGCTATATATTCATAATTTTTGAACTTCATATTCACAATTATTGAATCTCTATATTCATAATTACTGAATTATATGTTCATAATTATAAAGCTATATATTCATAATTTTTTAACTTCATATTCATAATTATTAAATTTCTATATTCATAATTACATAGCTACATGTTCATAATTATGTTCACAACTCTATGTTCATAATTATAAAACTATATGTTCATAATTTTTTAATTACATATTCATAATTATGAACAGTTTTATAACCGTATCCACCTTGCAAGGTGGATACGGTTCCAAAGCATAATTTGCCACAAATATTTTGCAGTATATTTAGAAAAAACGTTATTTGTACTAAATCACTAACCGTTATCTTAAATTATGTAACTTGTAATAATTATAATTATATATATATATATATATATATATATATATATATATATATATATATATATATATATTTATTTATTTATTTATTTTTGGAATATTAGTGAATTGATTGAATCTCTCCAATTAAACATATTTGTCATTTAATTATATTTTAATAGGCCCACAAAATTTTATTGAAATTCAATTAAATGCTCTTGTCAATATATTTAAATTGTTAAAAAATGTTATTTGTACTAAGTCACTAATCATTATCTTAAATATTGTAATTTGTAATAATTATTATTATATTTTATATTTTTTTTTGGGATATTAGTGAATCCAATAAATCTCTCCATTTAAACACGTAGTCATTTATTGAAATTCTAATAGGCCCACAAAATTCATCAGAAATTCCATACGATTTTTTCAATATATTTGGAAAAAAATAAATGTAATTCGTAATAAACCACTAATCATTATTTTAATTAAATGATGTAACTCGTAGTAATTATCATTATATTTTGCATTTTTTGGAATATTAACAAATCGATTGAATCTCTTCATCAATTAAACAAGGACTAAATATCATTTTTAGTCCCTCAACCATTATACATGTATCAGTTTTAGTCCTTGATTATTAAAATTTTCAATTTTGGTGCATTGACTATTCAATTTGTATCACATTTGGTCATTGACTACTAACATTTTCAAATTAGGTGCATGACTATTCAACTTGTATCACATTTGGTCTTACCGTTAAATTTTTCGGTAAAAATTCCGGCCAAGTCACCGGTGACGGGCTAGTTTATTTAATTTTTTTTTTTTTAAATTATTTTTAAAAAAATGTTATTTGTACTAAATTACTAATCATTATCTTAAACATTGTAACTTGAAATAATTATCATTATATTTTGAATTTTAGGGATATACTAGTGAATCGATTGTAACTCTCCAATTAAATACGTTAGTCATTCATTGATCAAATTCTAATAGACCCACATAATTTAACTGAAATTATGTTAACTCCAACAATTTTATCAATATATTTTGAAAAAAAATGTTATTATTTATACTAAATCACTAATCATTATCTTAAATGATGTAACTTCAAGTATGTGACATTACGGATGTTCTTAGAATGATGCGTGTTGATCTCACTAAACAGAATCTCAAGCATAAAATACATCCTCAACAAGTCCAACTCCTATCCCCTAGTATCACTGTTACACAAACCGCACTCTCAATCGTCATCCACAACGTTCACTTGCGATTCTGCTTGGCGTTCAACAACAACGTGGTGCTACTTCCTTACACAAAATGTTGGGGATACAAATTTAAACAACAAACTGAACTAAACAAAAATAGAACCACCAATACAGTACACAGGAAACATGCACACAAAAATGCACAAAACCTGAATATATGCACACACTAGAAACTAAGGAACAACTTCCCAATTTCACTATTGTTAACCACTAAGAAAGTACTCGTAACACACGTGCACATACAATACGGCAAACCAAACAAATAATAAATGCACGCACAAATGGACAGAGATGTACACAACATTTCCAGATGGCCTAAAACGCACACCTATCACAACAAATTAGCACACAACACAGTATATTATACACCTTACACAACTCACACAAAGCATATCTAACTCTATAATAAAGCAAGAAGTTTTGGCAATTCGTTTTCCGCCCAATTGATACTACGCCGTTTTGCTTTAGTGATATTTAGCCATTGAAGAGGTTATTTGTTCTGCGCGTGTTATGTGATTACGCATTGGGAGTATGCACAGCCGTTTTCAAAAGGCAACTATTCGTATTAACTTAGCATACAATGCTTGGTTCCCAAGGAGTTCAATTAATGTAGAACTCTTGGAAGTGTAAACAAAATGATTAATATCAAAGCATAAGGAAGGCATCAGGCCTACAATTTCGGAGATGCATGCAGATAAATAACAAGAGAATATTATATATATTACACGGAATATGCAGAGTTGAAATCTGCAAATACACATTCAATGAGATGTGCGAATTCCAAAACATTGGCTGCTGGTTATCTTTTGGTAAATTTGAATTTTCAACCTGTATAAATACCCGGCTTCTTCATGCCAAAAACCTTTCACAAATTCAGTTCACTTTACTACCTTTTCGAAATAGTCTTGGTCTTTCAAGATGCCTTCCATGTTCATTGTTGTGAAGAACATAAAGCCGGAACACCAGCTCAGCGTAATCAGGGTGAGAGCAGTACGGGTCTATGAAGTGCCAGAGAAAAGGGGAGAGGGGCAGGCCAGTAAGAGCATGGAAGTATTGTTCCATGATGAAGAGGTAGTGTTCTTTATTTGCAAAAAATCATATTCATGCTATCTACTAATCTGGTCTTTCAATGTGTATAAATGTTTTTTTTTTTTTTCTTTTTTTGCCGGGGAGACTACATTCATGACATGCTATCTACTAATCTAATGGTCTTTGGCTGTGTATAATTTTTTGTCTATTTTATTCGCAGGGAGACTACATTCATGCTAGTATTATTAAAAATGACATTGGAAAGTATAGAGATATAATCAAAGAAGGGAAAGTCTTTGAAATCAAGAACTTCATGGCTTCTACAAACTACTATGTCTACAAGATTACAGAACATGACTTTCTAATCAAATTCAACTATAGAACACAAGTGAAGGAGATACATTCTAATGGCTTTCCTTGCAAAATGTTTCGGCTAAAGAGTTTTTTGGCTTTGAAAGATCCTGTTGATGTGAATGACAAGGAATTGATTGGTACTATCTTTACTTTTTTTAACTACTAATATCTCCCTTACTCTATTTTTAGTACTGTTTTCTAATATTTTGTTAATTTGGCAGATGTGATTGGAATGGTGATTGAGATTTACAATCCTGTGGACAAGATTATAGGGGGAAAGGCAACCAAACTCATCGACTTTCAAATTGAAGACAATGCGTAAGTTTTTGAAAATTAAATTTGATTATATTAGACACGAATGATGTGGTTTTTTTCTGTAATACTTTTATTTTTTTTTTTCTGTTTGGAATCCAGTGACAACACACTGACATGTACACTTTGGAATGAGCATGTATCTGCCCTTATGCCTTATTACAATATTGATTCGAAAGAACCACTAATTGTAGTCATCCAATGCTGTAGGGCTAAAGTTGTTAATGGTGAGTTTCTCTATAGTTTTCTGCATATAATTTATATTAGTCATTCCAGCTTTTTGCTTTTAGTATGGATTGATTAAACACATTATCCTATATTTTCAATAAACAGAGTATCTATAAACAACACTATATCTATTTGTATACATTTTTTTTAAGGTGAGGTCAGAATAACCAGTTCATATGATGCTACGAAGCTTTGGTTCAATGAGGATTTTGAGGAATTTCAAGAGTTTAAGTCAAAGTAAGTTTATCTTTTTTATTTGTCCTATTTGTTACATTCATCTGTATTATTGTATGGTCTATTGCCTTTCAACTTATTTTAGAAAAACAAAATCTCTATTCCCCCTACATGCTGTCTACTGTGATCTAGAAAACAAAACATAGCATTGTGTATACACTATGTCTTTTTTCAACTTTAGCAAACTGCTAATAAAGAAATAAGATAGCTATAATAAACACATGTTTATTGTGGTCTACTGTATTCTAGATAGGTTGTTTAAACACATGTTTTCCACTGTATACTACCTTAATAGCATTGTGTACACACTATGTCTTTTTTCAACTTTAGCAAACTGCTAATAAAGAAATAAGATAGCTATTTATTTTGGTCTACTGTATTCTAGATAGGTTGTTTAAAAACATGTTTTTTGCTTTTAGTCAACTACCACAATGTCCATCCAGCTACTATTAAACTTTCTAATATTTATGAAGGTTGAAAGCTTAGAGTACTCCAATGAGAAGTCTTAGTACTGGCACCCTACATTCAAACTCTACAGGCATTCGTGAGTTTAAGAATGCTTCTGTTATTATAACAAACTGCCATGATCTTGGAGAAGGTTAAAGAGGTAATCCACACACTCAGCTACCTATTCTTACTTTTATTTTATTTTAGTTGGTTTATTGCTATATCTTCTTATAAAATGATGTGTATAATAGGATGGGGAATACTATGTGGCTGCTGAGATTTTGGGGTTAGATTTTGAGGATGGTTGGTACTACTTATCATGTCTGACACCTGGATGTAATAAGAAACTAAAAGAACAGGAAGGATCACTGCTTTGTACTAAGTGTAACAAGCCTTGTATGATGGGTACAGTGAGATATAAAGTTGTTGTAATTGCTCTTGATAAATCTGGAGATGCTCCAATGTTGCTTTGGGATAGAGAGGTGGCAGAACTTGTGGGTATTCCTGCTTCTATATTGTATGCAAAATACAAGGAGGTAAATTCTTCTAATTGGCTCTACAGAATTTATTCTATACTTTTATTCTATGTTTGTACTTAGGTTATTTATCACCTACCTAAACAGGTTGATGTTGAAGTGCCACCTGAGTTGGATGCTATAGTTGGAATGAAGATGTTGTTTAAGATCAATTTTAAACTGGCTCTTAAGAGGGGTCCCAATTACCTATTCAATGTTGTCAGGGTTGTCAGGGATGAGCACTTGCTTAAAGCCTATAGTGACAGGTTTGTGGAGCATCAAGACCAGGACTTAATATCTAGGATGCTTGAGGAGAAAACGAACAGTGATGCAATCTCTGAAGTAAGAATTTCAGAGCCTTACTGCTCTATAATGTGTTTTTTTTTTTTTTTTTTTTTTTTTTTTTTTTTTTTTTTTTTAATGATGGTGACTAATTTGGTTTACTGCTTTTGTTAATAATAGGAAGCCTCTATTGGAGTGGAAGTTAATAGTCCTGCCTCTATTCAAGCCTCACAAAAGGAAGTAGATGACAGTTCTGACAACTCTGGAGCTATTAAAAGGTCACTTTTGGATGAGTTTTCATCATCCAAAAGTAGGAAGAATTTGAAGGAAGCAGAAATTAAAAAGGAAAAAATGTAATTGTGAATGTGGTTGAAACTGATTGTTGTGAACTTGCCCCCTATCTAGACTTAAAGACTGTTTTTATATGTTCTAATTCTAATCCTGTTGATCCCTAAACATTAAAGTTTATTTTTGGTATATTTTCTAATTATGGTTTAATGTGTTTATTACCATATATTGGTGCCTCTACTGCTACTATTAGAACCTGTTTTGCAGATTTTCTAACTTCCATTTCAGGTGATTGGGAAGGATGATCAAGGTTCAAGGTTTTAAAATGGACACAAGGGACAAAACTTGGCAAGGAACTTAGACTTTGTAGATGTAGTTTTGTATAGGTTCCATTAGATATTAAACTTCTCCTATAAAACTGTTTAAAGTTACTAAGAACATTGAATGACAAGAATTTTTTGCAACTTTCTAATACAATTATAACCTCTTAGAACTAAATAACTTGTGCCTAAAATATAAAGATAGGTTTACTCACCTATTTGCAAAATCTTCTTTTACTCTGTTTGCAACTCTCCAATCCACTTTTTGTCCATGCTGGTGTCTACCAAAAATTGCTAGCACATATGAAAAGGAATTAATACACATGGAATAAATGAAATCTTTGTAATATAAAATTAACTAATTATTAAGAGTTACTAAAATGTTTCTTTTCCTGTGATATACAATAAAAGTGTTCAAGTTTTAATAATGTGTGAAATTTTATTCAGAATCTAAGTACTAATCTTAGGTTAAGCTTCCAAAGAATCCATATTGAGAAACAAACTACTAATCATAGGGTAGTGCCTGATTCTTAATCTACCAAACCTATTGGTTCCAATAAAGCACAGTAGCATATGTACACTCAATCTGTTAGAATATCCTTAAATTAGAAGAAATACTTTGATCCTACACCAAACTTTAATCTGCTGTGATATAGAATAAAAAAATGCACCTAAGTCAAAAAAAAAATTTATGAAAACAGTACAAACTTTTGAAGTTTTGTAAATGTGGTACAATATAAATCAGAAAGTATGTACTATTCTTAGGTTAAGCTTCAGGAAATATTTATCTATCTAAATAGTTTAATTACTCTACCAAAGCCCTTAATTGTTCTATAGAATGACTTATATAGAACAATTAAATACACTTACTAATGCAAATTGGATTAAGTAAACGAAATTGCATCCAACAAAAGTTACTTTGGTTACTTATAATAGTTTGAAAATCTTAATGGATACTTTAAGTTACTAGAAGACTGATAGCTGAAACAAAGAATCTCAAAAACTATTGGATTAATGGTATATTCATCCAACAATCAAAGAAAGGGCCAATTTAAAGTATATGAACTGGGTCTAAAATTGTGGACAATTTGTTAAAAAAATTCTGTTTAATTAAAAGTGTCTATTGCCTTACAAAGTAAAATGAACAAACTTACAAACTATGCAAGTATATGCATACAAACTAATCCAAAGTCAGGAAAATAAATATAAAATCTTAACCTATTTGCTTAGATCACCATGCTGCTTTTAGTTTCTTTGATTGATGGCTTATTTTCTGCTTGCTTCTCTTCAATGTATCCAGAGCTTGGATTATTTCATCCTCAAAAGAATAAGAAAAAAAAAAAAACAGGTTAGAAATTGTGTTCCCAATATTAAAGAACAACACCAAAAGGAAAATGATACACTGGCACAAATTTTTTTTTAGAGTATTAGAAGCAAAGAATCAATGTGTTCAATATTCTAAAAACTTATATACAGAAATTGAATAAAATGGAATTATTAGGTTGTGAAGTAAAAACTAATCATTCTTAGGGAAAGAAAAACATTCTTTAGATATTAAATATAATTGATGGCCAGCTATCATTACTATTAAGAGAAAACCCTTTAGATCCACTTCAAATCTCAAAATCATTGAAAAAATATACATTTGCTACAATGAACCCATCTACTGATAGCTGCCCCATCTAACTACAAAAACAGTTTTCCAGTTTGAGACCTCAGCTAGAGAGACAATTGACATCTACAGTTGCAAGTACACACAATAGACAGTGCAATGAAGAAGATTACTAAGTCAACAATTATAGACATAAAAAGGAAACCAAGTGAGCAAAATAAAGGTAAGTTCGAAACTTATCTTTTTTCATACTTTAAATGAAACTGCATTTTGTTATCCCTCTTGCTTTCCGATTCTGTTTATGCTCTCCATCTCCTCAAATAACTCCAGTATGTCCATAAAAAAAATTAAAAAGTAGATTAGAGGTTACGGTTTGTGTGAATAATAATATATCTATAGCATTTAGCACATGAAATTTACACAGTTAACCGTAATTTCATTTTTGTGTTATTAGAGCAACACTAAAAAGAAAACGGTTTATAACCCTAATTGCTATGAATCATACAAATATGAAATTAAGAGATTTTATCTATGAGAATCGATCTACATGCTTAACTATTGTTACCAAACTAAAGAGATTACAGTATGAAAAATAGATCAATTTCAGATTGGACAACAGTGATGCATAAGAAACCCTAAATGGATTGACTGAAAATTGAAAGCATACTAACCTTAGTAGTTGAACATTAGCTTCACTTCATCGTGATTTCCATCATTAACTCTTATTGAAGCCTCCGATCTTTCCCAGAAATGAAAGATTGCTATTGTGTACTGAGAGATTGAGTGTACGGATCTAGACCCGATTAGAAATTCTGCGGAAACAATGTTCAATAACAAGAGTTGATTGCGAGATAACGATTGGTGTAGGATCTAGGTTTAGACTGGATAGAGAGAGATAGCATGAGTGTTTTGAGCAGGGGAAAACGAGACCTGTTCAGACATACGAAGGAGAAGGGTGAATCCCTTCTTCCTCATCTCACGCGAATAGGACCGAACTAAACATAATAAATAATATATATATATATATATATATACACACATATATATATATATATATATATATATATATATATATATATATATATATATATATATAATTTATATATAGTCTTCATGTTATTGAATTTTGAATATCGATTTCCAATTTCTACTTTACAATAGTTAAACTTCTTATGTTATGTGTAATTAATTTGATATATACTTTTTAATTCTAATGGTATTTATTGTGCACAAATTTTTGTGGATCATGGTATACCTAATAATTGGTCCAATAAAATGTAATCTTTATTTATAGCAATTACAATTTCATGTTCTAGGATAGCATAAGTAATAGTGTTAGGTTTGATTAATTTATAATATTTTGACTGTTGTAATTAATTTTTTTATTACAGTATTCTTCATAGTTAACAAGTTGAAAAGCTACATGTCACAATAACATTGTTTCTTTTCTAATGTTAGCCAAATTTTTAGCAATTACAAATTAATGATGTACAATTGACAAATTAATTATGAAGTTTGTACTTACTTTTTACGATTGTTAATT